TGATTCAGAATCAGTGGTTTGAATCATCTTAAATCAAGAGGGGGTGGTTTTAAAATCATGAGCGATTCTAGTTTAAAACATCACATCAGATTCTGAATTGTAATTCAGAATCATTCTCGTTTTACGTGTATTTTTTGTGAGAGAAAACACTGTAGAGAACCATGAATCATGATTCAGAATCAGGGACGAATATAGTAAACAAACGTCCAATCAAATCAAACACTGATTCTGAATCATGATTTAGAATCATATTCAAAATCATTGTAAATAAACACTGATTCTAAATCAGGATCCATCTACCAAACGTCTCCTAAATTAGTGTAATTAAATTCTTTTCATCCATCTCTGTCAAATTATCCACGTTAATATTCATCTGACCCTCACGTGACCTCAGATTTAAAGTATAATTTTTTTTAAAAGGCCAAGCAATATATCTGTAGAGAAAAAAAAAACCTTAAAAGCCCAAACGATGAAGAAAAAATGAATAAAAAAATAAAGATAAACATTCTCCATAAAAATCAAATCAGATCTCCATTAAAAAAAATCAATTCATATGAGACTTTTCTACAACTTTTTTCAAAAAAGTAGAGAGAGAGAGAGAATTCGTATGTATAATAAAAAAATTTATAAAATTTTAAGATATTTTATAGATTATATTAATTTATACATGAATAAATTAATCAAATTAATTTATTTAACTAGCAAACGATTAAGTTGATAACTTGAGTTCTTTGACCATGAACGTTTCTTGCTCTAAGCTAGTTTAAAACACTCAAATCTTCCTCGTTAATTCTTTGAATCTACGAAGACATGTGTGTGGGGACACTTGAAATAAAACGGGATTAGCAAATAAACACTCAAGTTTTCCGCAAACAGCAACACTTGCATGCTGTGGAATTTGAGAGAAAATTTTTTTCTTTCCACACGCTCAATAATTCGGCCACTATAGTTAGGAGAGAGTAAAAATTATGTTCTCCAATTTTCTGTAATCTCCTATTTATAGAGTAGTAGTAGTCAGACTCTCAGAAGAAGTTTAATCTTTATCTTCAAGATAAAGCTTGATAATTATCTCTCACTTCTAATTGATTTTGGAAACAAAATTCCCTCTCACTTCTAATTGATTTTGTAAACAAAATTCCCTCTCTTTTATCCATAATGGCCGGCCACCATAGGGAGATTCCTCTCCTTGTGGTAGGCGCATACCGTAGGTAAAAAATAGGATAAAATTCTGCATTTATCCTGCAGTCTAATTTTGACTCAAATTCAAATTTCAATTTAAGTCAAACTTAAATCAATTCGAATTTCAAATTGGAAAACTTATCAATTAAATCAATTGAATAACTTGGAGAGCAAGCCACTGTATCCCAGAGGGATTCACACTGTATATGCGTGTACACCATGTGAACACCTCCACATGTGTGTGTTCTAAAATTCAAATTCAAATTTAAATAATCACATTAATTAATTTATAATTAATTCTCAATTAATTATTCTTGAGTGTTTTATTTTAGAATTTTATAATTTTAAAATTCCTATTTTACACTTAGTGTCTTGTAGGATTACAAAGACGACGCGGTGACTCATGGACCTATAATTTCGAGCTCCAATAAAATTAATAGTTAATTAAACACTTTAATTAATTAATTAATTCTATTAATTCCAAAAGTTACTCCACTATAAACTTGGAATTGCACTCTCATAATTATAGACATAAATTACTTCTAAACTGTGAAGTGTCCATTTGACATAGTCATTACATGTAGATCAATCCTTCATAAATAATTCATAACTAGAGTTATGTAAAATCCGTTAACCTCTTTAATTACATCTTTATCTTTAAGTATCATTGATTCTCTAATGGACAGTGATTCATAAAACAAATTCATGAATCAGAACTCCTACTAGTCCAAGTACCGAATCAACTCTCAAGAAAATTATTTATCTACAAGAAGGAATGGATTCCATCTCGTATAATAACATTCTCAGCTACTCACATCATCATGTCTACAAAATACAAGGAATAGAATTCAACATCTCGAAATCCGTACCGAGTAAATCAAAAGACACACATCCATAAGTAGAAGTATGTTAAAAACTCAGGACTAAGATCATTCTATATATGACCATCAGTAGACTCAATTAGAAGTTCTACACTTTTACGAAAATTATGGGAAATTCATATTGTGTCTATGTCCTTGTTCCACATAATCTCATTATGCATAATACACACATTCAATATCTCGCTATATTAACATTGCGGATAACACTGTTCAATTCTAAATGGGAATGACATGTATTAGTAATGTAGGGTTTTTTAGGGTTTATTTAGGGTTTTTGTTAGGGTTAATAGAGTTTTTTTAGGGGTTTTGTTGTTTTTTTTAGGGTTTTAGGGTTTTTCTAGAGTTCTTTAGGATTTTTAATGGTTTTAAGGAGTTTTTATGGTTTTTAGGGCCTTTTAGCGGTTTTTTAGGGTTTTAAGCATTTTTTAGCCTTTTTAAGGTTTTTTGAGGTTTTTTAGGGTTTTAGTTTTTAGGGTTTTTTAAAGTTTTAAAGTATTTTTAGGGCTTTTTAGTGTTTTTAGGGGGTTTTTAGGATTTTTTATGGTTTTTAGGGGTTTTTAGGCTTATTTAGGGTCTCTAGGGCTTTTTTACGATTTTTTAGGTTTTTTAGGATTTTTTAGGGTTTTTAATGGTTTTTTTAGGGTTTTTTTAGTGATTTTAGGGTTATGGTTCTTTAAGGGTTTTTGTAACGCCCTAAAGAATTAAACGAGCTTAATTAAGGTAATTAAGATTTATTAGTGTGCCTAATCTGGTTTTCGGATAGAACACTTATATACAATATTTAATGTCACATAAATAATCATAGAATTTTTAATGATATTTATTAAATATTCAATAATATATGCACATAAAATAATGAATAAACTCTTTTATTAAATAAATAATAAATATCATATTACATCTTATGTTTTTAGGACATTATTCCCAACATGTCTCACGTTGGAAAATTGCGGAGTTGCCAAGTGGGTTTTTTCCTCTCAAGCTTTGAATTGAAACTGGGTTTTCTTTAGAAACTAAAAATAATAATCTGTGTCCTTAGTCTGGATTTTCGCTCTATTTTTATGTTGATTTTTAAGGTACAAGGAACAACTAGATTTTTTTTTTTGGAAAAAAATAGTTATTTGTTTTGCTCTAATCAATATTAGTTTTTGGATTTATGAGATCTATCTTATAATACCCATTTGAAAAAATTATCTGGTAATACCCATTTGCTCAAATCAATAATTTATTTGCATGTAAAAATTATTCTTTTTTGTTGTTGGTGAGTTACTTTTGTTTATGAGGAGATTAAAAAAAGAAGAAGTCAGGGCAAACTAGTCTTTTCAGCGTAATAATGTGTCACATGAGGGGCCACATAGAAAATTGACGGAGATGGACAGAAAGTACTTAATTGTACAAATTTAATGACGTTGGGAAACTATTTTACTAAAATTAAAAAAAAATAAAGATTAAATTGTCACCTACTAAAGAAAGGTAGATACCATTTGTGCCAATTACCCTTTAAAGTATTATGGGTCCCTCGAAAACTCAAGCAGCAGATACGTAGGTGCCAACTGGTGTGGTGAGCAACGCCACAGATGCCCCCTAGCTTTATTCTTTATTATACTAAAAAATTACCAAATGTGCATCTTAGCTAAAATAGAGGTGTATATTGTTCTACAGAATATTACTGAACACCAGAATGAACCATCTTCTGTTAAGAGACCATACAACTAAAGGAGATAAATTTGATAGGTACAACTAATGAATTTTCATTTGGAAAGAGTAACAAGTTTGGGACTTTCTCCGGTAGAATTAGTTTTAAACCGTTAGATTTAATTTAAATCATATCAAATTAAAAAAATATGCAGAACATATAATTTTTAATATAAATTTGACGGTTGAAAAAATAAAAAATAATTGTCAATTCATTTTTCCTGATCATACCAAAGAAACTCTCAACAAGTTTTTATTGTTAAAATCATGCCAAAAATGGAAAGTAGAGATTATCTGCGTATAACATATTTCTTCCCTTAATGAATGCAGTATACGACAATTAATTTGTTGAAAATTTCAAATTTTGCAACATGAAAGTTTTCTTTTGATAAGATGTTAATAATAACAAATAACGATAATAATTTCAGCGAGAAAAAAAAATAAACGATAATAATGTATCGGGGCTTTTTTTTTCAAAAATTAAAATCCAGAAAACAAAAGAGAAATAATGACAATAGAACTCTCATTAAAATAAGAACATTAAACAAGATAAATGACAAGATAAAGATTGCAAATAGCATAATACTATAGTGGTTTTAATAAAAATACGAGCTATAAATAACTGGAGAGATTTTAACGAATGAGAATATAAACTCATATGGTGTTATTTATGAATGACATTTACTTAATTGAGATGCGGTTTTCATGTTCCTTCAACGCCGTGTAAGACATTCACGGGAAATCAATCTTCATAGTATACTCGTATAGATCAAAGTAGGTGTTGCCCAGGACCCAGGCAAAGCTAATAATAAACTAGCAAAAAAAAAAAAAAAAGGTTCCTACTTTCTAGATATCAAATTAAGTGATAGAACGACCGGGTTGTAGTTTTAGCACGGTGACGAGGACATTTCATTTGGATTAGAAAATTGAAACACTATTTACTCGTTTGTTTCACCAATTCAAAACTCTATGCCAAAGTGTTTTCAATCACAAAAAGTTTAAAAATCTGTTCATACCTATGAATCACAACTCTAGGTTCTAATGTCATGACGATAAATTAACTGAATTTCTTTTACAGGATAAGTAAATTTGAATCCATGTATTAAAAATATGCTTGATCAAAAACAAAGTAAAGGCTATTGGGAGTACTTTACAGCCGATAGGTCCAACACAAAATTTAGAGTCTCAACAAAAGATTGAGCTACATAGCATTCAAATACAAAATTCCCTTGCAGGTTTTCCTCCCTAATCATATGGGATTTGAATGTAGGCGGCATCACAAACGAAGGGGACGTCAGCATACATACCCACCACGACATGAAACCTAAAGAAGTGCGCAACGCAAGCACTCCAAGACAGTAAAAAGGTAAGCAAAAGCGACACCTGTCCAAAAATGCATCCCCACTTTGCCCCAGTAGATGGCAAGAGGCATCCAGCGACTCCCTATGACCTGCAGTGCAATTTCCAGTAACATACCCACCACGACATGAAACCTAAAGAAGTGCGGCCATTCCTTTCTCCTCACGACTCCAAGATATGCGACGAAAAAGTATGCCATCAAGAACCAGCCCGGCAACTGCCCAATGGCTCTAAGAAAAGGGTATGTAATGAACTCAAAATCTTCCAAAAAAGGGTGCAGGTGATAAGCTGTCTCAGCATACATCCAAGTTTCATGAAGGGGCATAAGATAAGGAAGACATGCTAGCGTTCTCCACCACCATCGAGGCTTCTTAGTCATTGGAGGGTACCTAAAACTGTAGGGGACATCCTTAGATGCTCTAGGAGACACACGAGACCCAAAGCGCCTTGGTAACATGGGGAAAGCGCGCAAGAGGCTACCTTGATCACCACTTAAAAGTGGCGATGATCCAGCAGAAAGATGCAGCCATGACGCCATTACTGCCGTTAAAAACCATCAGAACATTTCAGCAGTCCTTTAGTCACGACTCACATCATATGTTGATCAGTACCATATCCAAAAGTGATGTAGCAGATGGTTATAACTTGTTGATTCTTGGATGCCGAGAAATACAGAGGTATTGAAAGAAATTCTTGAAAGGTTTTATTAATAATATCAAAAGCTGAATAATAACATAACAAAATATAGGCCAACGAAATCCTAAACTAAAGAAATCCTAATACTATCCAATCTCTGATAAATAAGAGAAATAAACATAATTATCCTAAATGGAAATAGATAATGCTTAAAATAAACTGTTTCAAATTTAAAAATAGTCCTACTCCTAATCTGCATCATTCCCTCCGGGGTCGGAAAGATTCGTCCTCGAATCGGCAGGGGAAGGATCCGTGTTTTCGCCAACATAAGGAACAAGATGCTTTATGTTAAAAACATCTGATGTGCGATATCCTGGATGCAAGCGTAAGCGATAAGCATTATGATTAATTTTCTCAACAATCTCCAATGGTCCGATCTTCCGAGCGACAAGTTTGTTATATTCGTGAGCGGTAAAAAGATCCTTAGTAAGCACGGCCCAAACATAATCTCCCACATTAAACTCAACATGGCGGCGTTTTTTGTCAGCCGCAATTTTATACTTATGAGTAGAAGCGACTAGTCGATCATACGTTTATTTATAGATTTGATGCAGCTCGTCAATAAGGTCGGTGGCAAAAGGGTGGGCACGTGCATGATCAAGAACTGGAGCCAGGTCAGACGGGCATCGAGGAACAAGGCCATAAACAACCTTGAATGGACTAAAACCTGTACTGCGATTAACTGCGTGATTATGTGCAAATTCAGCTTGTGCGAGTTTAGTATCCCAGGATTTAACACGGTCTCCCGCAAGACTACACAAAAGATCCCCTAAAGATCGATTCACAACTTCAGTTTGCCCATTAGTCTGCGGGTGCGGAACTAAAATCAAGACTGGTATTAACCATTCGCCAAAGACTACGCCATAAGGGACTAAGGAAGCGAGTGTCACAATCCGACACAATCGACAAAGGAAATATGTGAAGGCGATAAACCTCTTGAAAGTATAACTGTTGTGTGATTCTGCAAGTGCACGGATCGTTCAAGTAATAAAGTGTACTGTAGTACGGATATTATTTTCATGGAGATTGAATCACCAATAATATAGTGTAGAAATCATGCAAACACCACATTAAGTGAAAGAATAAACTAAACAAAAATTCACTAAAATGATGTTGTGACGACCCCCTAGGTGGTCATCACTGTAGCTAAAATTAACTTGTGCTTGCTGAAATTTTTTAAAATTTGCAGAACAATTTTTTTTTTTAAATATAAGAAAGAATAATTTCATAAATCGTAACAATAATTTCAAAAAATGAATCACTAAATTTCTTAAAGCTTTTCGTAATTTTAACTAAGATAAAACTTTCCAGAAATATCTTTCAAACTAAGCGATGTTTGAACTTTTATTTCAAATACTTTTTAAAAGCCTTTCTAAAATTAGCCAATTCAATCGGGTCATCTAATTTGACTTTAAAACGGATTTCGTGAGAAATATTAAATTCAAGTACTTCTTAAAGTCCTTTCAAAATCAATCATTTAAATCGTCATGTTTAAAATACATTTATTTGTTGCATGCACTGTGTTGGTTTCCGAATCGAATTCAGATGCGGAAGTGTGGGGATAGCGGATCAAGTATAACCAAAATTTTCATAAAAATTTTGAGATACTCTATAGATTATATTAATTTATGCATGAATAAATTAATTACATTAATTTATTTATTAAGAACTCAATTAGGAATAATATCTGGCAGCCAATTAGGATGATAACTTGAGTTATTTGACCTCGAACAATCCTTGCTCCAAAGCCTTGGGTTTAGAAAACCAATGTCTATCACGTCAATTCCTAGAATCCACGAAGACGTGTGTGTGGGCACACCTGAGACAAAATGGATTAGAATAAACACTCGAATTTCTACAAATACCAATGCATGCACAATGTGAAATTTTTAGAGAAAATTTTTTTCTTCCCACAATAAGAGAATTTCGGCCACAATAAAATATTAGGTCAAAAAATTGTTCTAAAAATTGTGTTTCACAATTTTCTATCATTTTCTTATTTATAGAGTAGAAGTCAAACTCTTAGAAGGAATCTAATTTTTATCTCCAAGATAAAGCTTGTTAATTATCTCATATTTGAATTTGAAACAAAAGTCTCCTACTCCTTATCCTCAAGATGGCCGGCCAACCTAGGTGATCATATCCCTGTGGTAGGCGCCAAATACAGAAAGGGAAGGAAGAGAAAATCATCCTTTATCCTGCAGTCCAATTTTAATTCAAATTCACATTCCAATTTAAGTCAAACTTAAATTAATTTGAATTCTAAATTGAACAACTTATCAAATAAGTTTAAAAGGACAAATTTAAATTATGTTCACAATTCAAATTCAATTTTAAATAATCACATTATTTAAATAATAAATAATTCTTAATTAATTATTTTTGAGTGTTTGATTTTAGAATTCCGTAATTTTAAAATTCCCATTTTGCACTTTGTGTCTGGTAGAATTACAAGGACGACGCGAGGACTGATGGACCTATAATCACGAGCTCTAATAAAATTAATAATTAATTAAACACTTTAATTAATTAATTATATTAATTCTAATAGTTAATCCACTATAAACTTAGAAATTATAGAAATAAATTACTTCTAAACTATGAAGTGTCCATTTGATATAGTCACTGCATATAGATCAATCCTCCATAAATAATTCATAATTAGAGCTAGGTAGAATCCGTTAACCTCTCTAATTATATTTTCATCATTGAGTACCATTGATTTTCTAATGGATGGTGATTCATAAAACACATTCATGAACCAGAGCGCTCTTACTAATCCAAGGACCGAATCAACACTCAAGAGAATTATTTATCTGCTTCTTTCTCAAGAAGGAATGGATTCCATCTCGTATAATAACATTCCCGGCTACTTACTTCATCATGTCTTCAAAATACAAGGAATAGGATTCAGGGTCTCGGAATCCGTACTGAGTAAATCAAAAGACACAAATTCATAAATAGGAGTTTGTTAAGAACTCAGGATTAAGATCATTCTATATATGACCATCCGTAGACGCAATTAGAATTTCTATACTTAACGAAAGTCATTAGAAATTCATATTGTGTCTGTGTCCCTGTTCCACATAATCTCATTATGCGTAATACATTCATTCAATATCTCACTATATTAACAGTGCGGAACATCGTTCCATTCTAAATGGGAATGACATGTATTAATAATGTTTTAATTAAATATTCCAAACTTTAATTAAATTCATTACGAACATCTCTTTTTGATTATTATACTCTCGCATATAACACTTATATACAATGTTTAGGGTCACATAAATAATCATGGAATTTTCATTGATATTCATAAAATATTCGCAAATATACACATAAAATGATGAATAAACCCTTTTATTAAATAAATAATAAATATCCTATCACATTTCATGCTTCTAGGACACCATTCCCAACAATCTCCCACTTGTCCTAAAGCAAGTAGAATATGTGTCCAATCCTAAAACTTTCTAGGTGTCTATGACTGATCTATGCCTGGAATAATTTCCATATCAGTTAAGAATTTCTGGAGTGAGGTTGCTTTCTTTTGCTACTTCACAAGCTGCAACACATGAACTCTTAATGATAGAATTAGCAATCACACTTTGCCAACAACCTTTCATATCACGACTCCTTCACCTAGTGTGAACACAGATTTGGATGTCGACTCTCGAACTCCATGCAAGACTCATAGTCAAAGTCTGTATATCCAGCTAAAAGACAACTCTTTCACTGACTAAACTATCTTATAGTTTCTTTGCTTTCCTCATACACTTAAGGATACACTACAACGCTACCCATTGATCGAATCTTAGTTCAGCTTACAACGACTGACCACTCCCATTGAATATCATATATTCAGGTTTGCAAAGAATAAGAACATATTCTTTTGTTTTGTTTGATACATCTTGGTTTTGATCAAAATCCATAAGACTTAATAGCCTTATCAAACCTGATGTTCCATGATCTATAAGCTTGTTTCAATCCATAATTGGATCTCGACGGCTTGCAGACTTTCTGCTCTTAGCCTTCCTCTATGTAACCCTATGGCTGATCGATATAAATGGTTTCCTCAAGATAGCCATTCAGAAAAGTTGTCTTGACATCCATCTGTCATATCTCATATTCAAAATATACTCATATGACCAAGCGTATCTAGATGGACTTAAGCATGGCTTCCGATGAGAGAGTTTCCTCAAAGTCAACTCCCTATTTCTAGGTGTAACCCTTAACCCCTAGCATTGCTTTATAAGTCTCTACTTTTCCATCCGTTCATCTCTTTCTCTTGAAGATCCACTTGCATCCAATGGGTTTTACCCCTTCGGGTAGATTTACAAGTTGCCAGACTGAGTTAGAGGTCATAGACTCCATCTCGAGTTTCATAGCTGCTTGCCATTCTTCCTTATCAGAATCATCCATCGCATCCTTAAAGGTCGATGGATCCTCCTTACCGTCATCAGCAGTGACAATCTGGGCTTTCCTGGTATATCGGTCGGGTAACTTGCTTACCCTCCTACTACGACAAGGTGCCACAGGAGTTTAATTAAGAATCATGGTCTTATCTCTAAGCGTTCTAACAACTCTTGTCGGTTGTGGTCCAATCTCATTGAAAAGTAACTTTTCTAGAACTGCTTTGCTTCTCGACTTGAAACTTGCTTACCCTCCCACTGCGACGAGGTGCCACAGGAGTTTAATTAAGAATCGTGGTCTTATCTCTAAGCGTTCCAACAACTCTTGTTGGTTGTGGTCCAATCTCATTGAAAAGTAACTTTTCTAGAATTGCTTTGCTTATGGACTTGAAAACTATCATATAGTCATGCTCCAGAAACGTGGCAT